CTCTCTCTCTCTCTCTCTCTCTCTCTCTCTCTCTCTCTCTCTCTCTCTCTCTCTATCTATCTATCTATCCCTCTGTGTGTGTACGTTTCAGTTCGGTGGGGGGAGATGGTATATGATTGAGAGGTGATCGGGGGTAGTTAAGGGAAGTCGCGTGCAATTATAAGAGTGCCATTGCTTTTCAGCAGGTTCTGTAATGTATGGACGGAGTAGTCGACATCCATTCTCCTTGGCATTTGATGTACGATGAGCCACATTCGATCATGCATCTGAAGTAGCGCCTTGAATTGCGCCGTAAAGCCGGCCGTGCCGAAGTGTATTGGATTCCTGGAAGACATAACACAAAAAAGAGATGCAGCGACACGTATCAGACCCACTTCGTGGACAGCGCAGCTTCCCCCCCCCCTCCTTTCTCTCTCTCTCTCTCTGTGTCTCTCTCTCTCTCTCTCACACACACACACACACACACACACACAACTCATTGTTCAAAGGCCGACAGACATAAATTCCAAAGCAGAGTTATCTCACCTTCAGTCATCGTGGCGCAGTCGTCCGAAATCCTCGACGCAATGTGAAGCCCAAACTTCAGCGTCCAAGCTCCAGGATGCAGGGTCCAACCTCCAGCAGGTAAAAGAGCTTTGCACAAGCAACTCCGGGTCACTATGTTTGTGTGTGTGTGTGTGTGTGTGTGTGTTCCGTGTGGGTGTGTTTGTGTATATGTACGTGTGCTGTCTTGTTCTCTACACACAACTCCACAAAACAAAAGGTGCGTGCAGCCAAAACAAAGGTGCGTGTCCTTCGGGACATCCGTTAAAATTGGAACGATACAGAGAAGATTAGCATGGCCCCTGCGCTTTCAAGGATGACACGCATAAATCGAGAAATGGTCCAAAACAAAGGTGCGTGCGTACTGGAGTAGGGGCCTCGTCGCACTACTCGCCATCCGCCAACATTTTGATTGCAGGTGGACATCATGTTGTCCAGATGCATTCGGAATCTTGGCGGATGGCGAGTAGTGCAGCTACTAGTAGGGCCTAGAGTAGAGTAGCGAAGCCGACTGTAGCCGAGTAGAGCACAGCAAAAATCGAAGTCGACCGCTTTCCCTTCTTCTTCTTCTTCTTCTTCTTCTTCTACATCGACTACACGTTTCTTGTGGCAGCTTGTCCCTCTTCTCTCCCTTGCGCACACGACTACGACGACGACTTCAAGCTCTTCGTCGCAGCGAGCTACCGGTAGGGGACCGGTCGTTCCGTGCGCCGGCCGCCAAAAATTGAAGTTGAAGCACGGGCCCGAAAAGGGATATTTCGCAAAATACCCCCGTACGTTGAGATATTTTTGAAAATGCCCCTAAAGGATGTGTGGGTAGAGCGGAATACCCCTCTGACGAAAATATACTGTGTTTAATACCCCTGACGTCGGTTGGGACTCCATCTTCGCAATATACCCCTGCGGGATATAGTCCAACTTTGCAAAATGCCCCAGCAATTGCGAACTTCTCCTAGGCGCTATATTGCAGAAGGCCAAGGCCGAAACGGGGAAATCCAGATTGCACACCCGCCTGACAGGGGCACAACGGCCCAAAAGGGCATTCCACTCTACCCACATCTTTCAGGGGCATTTTGGCATATATCTTAACTTCGGAGGGTATTTTGCAAATTATTCCGCCCGTTCGGGACATCCGTTAAAATTGGAACTAAATGGCCCCTGCGCAAGGATGCCACGTATAAATCGAGAAATGGTCCAAAATTTTTCAAAAAAAACAAAAAAAATGGCCGGGGCCCAGCTCAGTTGGTACACCCGTGAGCTGTGGAAATTTGCAGCCCGCCAAGGTTGCGTTTTATGCCCTTGAGACCTTCAACGTCAATTCAACTTTCAACGTGGGTGGTGGTTCGGGAGGGCGGGCAATTTTGAGGTGAGGGCTTAGCAAGGGTCGGGGCATGCGACGGACCGGTAGCTGCCCACAGGAGGCCAAGGAGGCCGCGGTCCTTGAGTTGGAAATTTCAAAATCGAAACGGCGTGGGAGGCCGAGGAGGCCGCGGTCCTCAAGTTTTGAATTGACTTACCGTGAGGGCACGGGTGCGCAGCCCGTAGTTTGTTTCGTTTTGGCTGTGGTGAGGCCCTGTGTGTGTGTATGCGTGTGTGTGTGTGTGTGTGTGTGTGTGTGTGAGAGAGAGAGAGAGAACATCTTTGTTTCTGAATCTGGCTCAGAACTGCTTCCAGATTCAGACAAAATCATCCAGAACAGTGACTAGGCCTATTGGGCTGGGCATGAGGCTGTAGGCCTGGGTCCACGCCGTTTCATATTTGAATTTCAAGGAGCTGCGGCCCCCACGCCGTTTCAAAATATTTTGGACCACGGCCACCTACCGGTTCCCAGGAAAATGCCACTAGCAAATACCGGTTCTGCATTTGCTTGAACTGTCCCCCCCCCCTAAATGCCCGTGCCTTTCATTTTACCAGTCTTTCAACAACCAATGGGCCCGAATGAACGACCGGTATAACGAAACGAACGACGACGAAAAATGTCTCAGGAGCATAAAACGCAACCCTGACGGGCTGCGAACATTTCGAAATCAAAATGGTGTGGGTAAACTTTTCTCAAATAAAAGAGCACTTCGAATAGAACATGTGCGCGTTGTATTCAACGTGAGCCCTTTCTATTCGAATTTCCAAGAAAGAACTTTTGTATTCCAATGGAAAATTACCTTCTCTTTTTTTTTTGGACTTCAGCGTTTGCCCTTGTGCTCCC